ATATATATATATATATATATATATATATATATATATCACCGTCATCGTCGCCATAATCAGCAATAACATCAGCAGCATTACCTCATCAAATGTCAAATAGACTAAAAATTAACCAGTTCCGTTTGATCTCAAATATTTAATCTCAATCTCAAATAAATTTTTTATAGCCTTAGACAGAAAGAACATCGCAATAGTAATAATGTGAATAGTTTAAAAAGTGAAAACAAAGAAAACGTTTTTGAGAATATGCTTTGAAAAAAAAATGCTGCTTTCACCTTTTTTTTTGGCTTGGTTGGTACTATTAAAATAAAAGAAGAAAAAGTTTAGTTTTCAATAACCACTTGAAAATTGTCTGCTCTCATAATATCGTTAAATTTATCACCACCAGCACCACCACCAAAACAGAAAAATTTCTATAAAAAGTGAAAGAAAAAAATAATAACCAAACTACAACAAATGTCCATCTTTATCTTTTTTCTCAAGTTTTTAAGCTAAAAAGGAAAAAAAAAAAAACAAAAAAAAAGTTTTTTGATCAACAAATATATGTTACATAACCGACAGACAACATACATGAATACTAAAGCAAATGACAAGTTGGCGATGGCTAATATAACATTTTGAGTCTTATTGCAAGCATCTATTTTTAAATAGAAACAAAACGAATGCACCGACACAACATCAGCAACTTTTTTTTCAGCATCCGTAACTGACTAATAAATGGATATAATGATTATCAGATAGCTGTCAATGCAGTTGTTTGTTTTGTGATTAAGCAAGGAAAAAAAAAGTTGTTACATAAACTTTTTTTTTTTTATTTGACCATCGTCACTCTTATTTTGGTTTACGATTGTTTTACCAATGCTTATAAATTCCATCATAAACATTGCATGAATAATATATCAAAAAAATAAGAATAAAAACCTTACTTTATCTCCCCATACTTCTTTTTAGCCTCCTTATCTTTGCCTCTAAGTTTATTCTTCTTCCCCTTCCTCTTTTTCTTCTTCTTATTATTATTATTATTTCGTAACTTTATAAAAATATATCTGAATATAACACTTCCTAAATTAACAAAACAAAAATTTATGACTAATCCAGCAGAATCACTCACCCAACCAGCCAGTAACTCCCCCTACTTTTCCGTTCACCTCTTCACTTCCCTCTTTGCCCAACATTGAGAAACAACAGTGGAAGAGCAGTTAATACACAGCGTATTGGTATCCAATAAGAACATCAAAAAAAGCTTGCTTATTCTACGATTCATTCAGTGATTGTAAAGCTGCTTGCGTAAATCGTGTATGTTTGTATGTCTTCCTTCTTCACTTTTCCAGTATCATTCGTGATAATCGCAAGATAACCGCCACATCTGCCCGTTTATTACTTTGGCAAACACGCAAAGAAAGAAAAAGAAAGAAAAAAAAAAACATGGATTAACAAACTATACTGGCATTAGACTAAGCAATATTTTGACAAATATCCCAACTACTTGACACAGTTAGCCTATTGAAGTGTTTGATTAAGTGTAAATGCAACGCTTGCATTGATCTGTTGAAACCCCGTCGGCAAAACGCTACTTTATCTGAAGGGTTGAACTTACTTATCAAATCAGTGCAATTTTTCTCT